GTCAGTCAGACAGACAGGTACCTGGTACTCCCGGTGGGCCTCCAGCAAAAGAGCTCCAGGAGCCATGGAGGCGATCTTGAAGATCTCCTGACAGACGAGAGGAACCTCCTGAAGGAGTTCCTGCTGAGAGGAGCTGAGGATCCGCACCCCGTCCAATTCTCCCACCAGAACACAGGGTTCCTCTATCGGGAACCTGGTCACAGGTCAAGGCTCACAGCGGAGAACCAGATAACCATTAAAACAACAAGAAGCTTAAAGAGCTCCAGGAGAACCCTACTGAAGTCCAGGAGGACCCTAATGAGGACCAGGAGAACCTTACTGAGGTCCAGGAGAACCCTACTCAGGTCCAGGAGGACCCTACAAGGTCCAGGTACCCTAATGAGTTCCGGTCCAAACTGGTTTGTGGTTCTGTTCTGAAATGGTCTAAAGGATACTGGATGTTGTCCTGACGGACTCCAACCACCATCAGCAGTTTGTCCCACAGCAGAACCACAGACGGCTGCTGACTCTTTGGCCTGCGACACCTGGACAGGTATAGACAGGTACAGAGGGTGAGACAGGTGAGACGGGTGAGACAGGTGAGAGGACAGACGGGTAGACAGACAGATACATACCAGACCATCTGTTGGGGGGGCTTTGTGTTCTTGGTGTCCACTTCATTCAGTTTGTCCTGCAGACACAGAAGCACCTGTCAATCATACAGACCCAGCCCCCTCACCACCTGTCAATCACCCACACAGACCCCACCCCCTCACCTCCTGTCAATCACCCACACAGACCACACCCCCTCACAACCTGTCAATCACAAAGACCCCACCCCCTCACCACCTGTCAATCACAAAGACTCCAACCCCTCACCATCTGTCAATCACATAGACCCCACCCCCTCACCACCTGTCAATCACACAGACCCAAAACCCTCACCACCTGTCAATCACACAGACCCCACCCCCTCACCACCTGTCAATAACACAGACTCCACCCACTCACCACCTGTCAATAACACAGACTCCACCCCCTCACCACCTGTCAATAACACAGACAACCACCCCCTCACCACCTGTCAATCACAGACAACCACCCCCTCACCACCTGTCAATCACACAGAGAACCACCCCGCCCGCACCAACTGTTAATCACCGCCCCGACCCTTACCCCAGTGAGATCAGGCCCCTAATTGGTCGCTCACCTGAAGGTGGGAGGGGCCTGTCCACAGGTGTCCGGTCTCTGTGAACAGAGCCAGGTATTTGTAGCTGAAGGAGACGGACATGTGGAAGATGCTGCCAGACTGAGGACCCAGACCTGGAGGACTCTGAGAGACAGACAGGTAGTTAGTGACGTGTCTCAGCTGTCTGTCTACCTGTCTGTGTACCTCTCTGTGTCTCTGACTGTCTCACCACCGCAGTGCAAGACGTGTTGTCCAAGATGTAGAGATCCGGTCCGGTGGACAGCAAGACTTTAGTCTGCCGGTCCTGGGTCAGAACCAGCCAGCAGACAGGCTTCCCCTGGAGACCTGGAGAACACAGGTGAGAGGGAGACAGGTGAGAGGGAGACAGGTTTGAGGGGGACAGGTGAGAGGGAGACAGGTGAGAGGGGGACAGGTGAGAGGGGGACAGGTGAGAGGGAGACAGGTGAGAGGGAGAAAGTTGAAAGACAGGTGAGAGGGAGAAAGGTGAGAGACAGGTGCGAGGGGGACAGGTGAGAGACAGACAGGTGAGAGAGAGAGAGACACAGGTGAGAGGGAGACAGGTGAGAGACAGGTGCGAGGGGGACAGGTGAGAGGGAGACAGGTGAGAGGGAGACAGGTGAGAGACAGGTGCGAGGGGGACAGGTGAGAGACAGACAGGTGAGAGAGAGAGAGACACAGACAGGTGAGAGGGAAACAGGTGAGAGGGAGACAGGTGAGAGGGAGACAGGTGAGAGACAGGTGCGAGCGGGACAGGTGAGAGGGAGACAGGTGAGAGGGAGACAGGTGAGAGACAGGTGCGAGGGGG